GGAGGATTTTATTTAGGGACGATTTTAAGTATAATTTTAATTGGAACACAGCCTCTAATATTTGGTTTTTAATTTGGTTTTAGAAGGGTTTTATTTTTGTATATTGTTATTGTATCTGTTTTTAATATGCTGTGCACCGCCCTGAGTCCTGCGGGAGAAGGGCGGTATAGAAATTAAAATAATAAAAATAAATAATAAATAAATAAATAAATATTAAATTCCTTTGTAGATGTAACAACTTGTTGCATACATATTCATTGGTATATGGTATGTGGTATCATTTCAGAAAGACAGCATTAGTGGAAAAGCTCACATTTGGGATTTGTACATACTATACAGTACGGTGTATACAGTATATGACATTGTCATTAGAGAATCATCATTTTGGAGAGTTAAATGGTTGAAATATGTCAAGTATCAGACCAATTTACAGAACCTAGTACAGTGGTGGCGAACCTATGGCACTGGTGCCAGAGGTGGCACTCAGAGCCCTCTCTGTGGGCACACGTGCCGTTGCCCCAGCCTTGCCTCCCCCTGCGACCCCTTCACCAGCAGCCCCCCTGGAGGAGAGTCGCCCCCAAGCGTGGCCCATGTGGAGCAGCGCAGCCAAAGACATGGCAGCCAGGCAGTGTACACAAGATTCTGCCCTCACGCCCTATTATGCACAGTTGATGCTGCAGGGCGTGGGGAGAGGGTGTGGCCGCCATGGCGTTGCTGGGCTGCCTCGGCGATCTGCGGCGGGCCCTGGAGGCGGTGAGGCCCTGCGGACAGGCGGGGTGGGGGCGGGGCAAGGGGTAGAGCAGGGGCGGGGCACTCGGTCTCTAAAAGATTTGCCATCACTGACCTAGTATTACATGCTAGTTGTATTGATATTCCACCCAGATTTGCAAAAGACAATCCAAGATATAATAAGAACAGTGATTTTGCTGATGATTGCTATAGCCATCACGGGCATCTGCATAATCTGGAGTGACTTTTTCACTTCACTTTACCTGTTGTGGGCTCTTGGCCAATGAGAGCAGACATGAACACTGCTAGCCTGGCTTAGAAGAAGCATTATGAATGTTTGTCAAGATTCAGCACCCAGAGCCTCCAAAAAAGTCTTTTTTTCTACTCTTTTCTAGGATGACTTTCTCCTTATACATTATGACAAAGGACCTTGCCGAAACAAGTTAGGTCATTCTAGGGCATCAGTTATTTGGCACAGAACACAGGTAGGTGCTTCTCTATCTTTACTATGCAGTGTTTAAGCGAATTCAAAGAATTATGGTTCAGAAAACTATGAGAAATTATGAAATAATCCCATATTTATGGAATAAATGCTCATAAAAGAAATGTGTCAAAGAAAATAGGATTTTTTTTTTTAAAAAAAACTACTTTTGCACAGTCACTGTTGTTTTGTATAGTCAGTTTTGTTGTTGATAAATTTTGATGCAAGGTGCAAAGAATCACAAGAGCCATTTGTGTAGTGGTTAAGGCACCAGGCTAGAAACTAGGAGAATATGAGTTCCAGTCCTGCCTTAGGCACACAGCCAGCTGGGTAACCTTGGGCCAGTCACTCCTTCTCAGCCCTAGGAAAGAGGCAATGGCAAGCCACTTGTAAAAAACCTTGCAGAGTTTAGTCCAGGCAGTCACTAGGAAACAACACTGACTCGAAGGCACCAAGAATCACAGAGGGCAATCCTAACTTGAAGCAGAGAGGATGGGAAGAGACTATCTTCCCACAACGATACTTGTGAAGATTCCCCAGGACAGAAAGAGTTGAGGAATATTTTCCCTGGGCTTCTCCTGGAAGAGCTTTGTCCTTTCTCCTAATAAGGACTTTCTAGAGGAGCACTTCTAACTCCATGGGATTCAAAGCTGGCTTCTTTCAAGCATAATCCATTCTGGAACTGTCTCTAAGAGATGGCCGTGGTGATTCCGTTCCATCTACCTGAGTCTTGATGCTCCTCTTCCAAACAGAGTTACAATAGCTGGGAGCTTTGAGGGGATATTTCAACATTTCTCAACATCTTCCCTGATGGTTAGGAAGGGAGGACAGGTGGTTAGGATTGTGCTCTGGTTCTTTTTGGAAAGTAATTAAAATATTCCTGGAAGCATTGCAACAATCTAAGGCAGGGCTCTTCAAACTTGGCCCTTTTATGACTTGTGGACTTCAACTCCCAGAATTCCTGAGCCAGCGTGCCTGGCTGAGGAATTCTGGGAGTTGAAGTCCACAAGTCATAAAAGGGCCATGTTTGAAGACCCCTGACTTATAGCATTACAAGTAGTCTTCAACTTATAACCATTCATTTAGTAACCATTCAAATGTATAATGGTGCTGCAAAAACCAGTCCTCGCACTTATGACCATCACAACATCTAAGGGAAAGGAAGGGCTGTTAGATTATAATATAATGTAATGTGTATAGTACAGCATAGCATAGCATAGCATAGCATAGCATAGCAATAGTAATATATAGCCAGCTGTGAAGGGGAAAGCCATAATATTTTTCATTAAGTGAAACATAGTCATAAAATCACCACTCTGCAAAATGAATTTTTTTAAAATTAAAATAATGTGGATTTTTGCAACCACATAGGACTTCCAAGTATGCAGTTACATAACACACTTTAAGCCTTCCAATGTGAATGTTGTTCAACACTGCCACCTGGTGACAAAGAAAATGACTTTCACTCCCTCGTGAAAAATAATATTATTAAGTAGTTAACACAGATTCAGTTTTTGCTTAAGAAAGAAAAAACAAAATCAGAAAATAGACTTTAAAATGAATAATATGACTATATTGTTCTAACAGCTATCAGGGATCTGTTTGAATATTATCTCTGTCGGCTGTGCTAACCTTTAGGTTGTCCCTTATAAAATCAGGAGAATTTTACTTTTCATTCTTTTGCTTAAGAAGCTCTTGGTCAGCTCAGCAGAAGGTTTGAGTCCTGTATTAAGTAAGAGATTCATATCCAATAATATCTTGCCAAATTCAAAGTATCCTGTGATGCTTTAGTGCAACCTCATAGAATCAACATAAGCTAAAATACTTCAGAGCTGAGGGATGACCTTCACACAGATCCCTGTCACTCCTTTCTATTTCTACTGCCTTTACTCTTCCTAATAGCAGATTTGCCCTGCAATGCTTTAGTCTTTCTGGCGGATTTTAAATTTGTGTTGTTGCCCACATTTTAATGTGTCTAGGTTTCTCAGTAAAAAGTCAAGGCTGAGTAGTAAAGACAATTTTCTGCAATGCGGTACTGTACAATATACTAGAATGCAACTCCCAGACTTCTCATCTAGCGTGGCCAGTGGAACACCTTAAGTTAGGAATTTAGAAATTGAAATTCAACAAATTTGGNCCCCCCCCCCCGTGTTACTTCTTTTGTCATTCCAACAAAAACAATGAATGCCTGTAAATGTTGCTTTTTAGCATTATCCGATTAGACCAGTGGTTCTCAACCTGTGGGTCGGGACCCCATTTGGGGTTGATCGACCATTTCACAGGGGTCGCCAAGCAAGGCTGTCCGCCATTTTTTTGTCCGCCATTTTTTCCCCCTTTTCCGGCAGGTGCCTTACCTCCCTTGGGCTGGGCCAGCTGGTGGTCGGCCTGCTCCGTCTCTGCCGCTTGCCAGCTACGCCTCGGCCGGCGCAGGGGGCGGAACCACGCATGCGCGGCACTCCCGGGCAGGGAAAGTCCTCGACTTACGACCGGTTTAGTCCTCGACTTACGACCGGTTTAGTCCTCGACTTACGACCAGTTTAGTCCTCGACTTACGACCGGTTGGGGTCGCGGCATTAAAAAGGTTGAGAACCACTGGATTAGACTGAATAACAAAACCAAAGGATGGTCTTGGAATCTATTTTTGAACATGATTGCATCACATATCTTCCTTTTCATGACCCTGTGTTGGGTAGAGTTAAGGTGACTAGATAGAGCTGAGCGTTTACTGGCCGGATGCCCTCCTTGATGTTTACACGGAGTTTGCAGCAAATATTTTGGGTTTTGTTTTTTGCGCCCTGATAGAGAAACCTCTGCTGCTACCTAGGATTGAACTCTCAACCTTCTGAGTGGGAGGCGGGCATCTTCACCATTGGGCCACACGGAAATAATTTCAGTTTGAAAGTGACACATACCGGAAGCGTATTTGTTCCATAATATTATCAACCTGTTTCTTCCCAGCTCTGTTTATAAAATGGAAGAAGATGATGCTCCAATCAAGCGCTGCCCCAAATGCAAAGTTTATATTGAAAGGGATGAAGGCTGTGCCCAAATGATGTGTAAAAATTGTAAACATGCCTTCTGCTGGTATTGTCTGGAATCACTTGATGTAAGTTTTCATTTTAAGATGAGCATATTACCGTTCATTAAAGCTACTGCTGTCATGGGTCCCAAATGCCTAAAAAAGAGAGACCTTTTAAATGCCATCTTATAGGATATTCCTAAAATTATAAAAATGAATAGGCCAACACTGATAAGTTAACAATTTAAATATTAAATTCCTTTGTAGATGTAACAACTTGTTGCATACATATTCATTGGTATATGGTATGTGGTATCATTTCAGAAAGACAGCATTAGTGGAAAAGCTCACATTTGGGATTTGTACATACGATACAGTACGGTGTATACAGTATATGACATTGTCATTAGAGAATCATCATTTTGGAGAGTAAATGGTTGAAATATGTCAAGTATCAGACCAATTTACAGAACCTAGTACAGTGGTGGCGAACCTATGGCACTGGTGCCAGAGGTGGCACTCAGAGCCCTCTCTGTGGGCACACGTGCCGTTGCCCCAGCCTTGCCTCCCCCTGCGACCCCTTCACCAGCAGCCCCCCTGGAGGAGAGTCGCCCCCAAGCGTGGCCCATGTGGAGCAGCGCAGCCAAGGACATGGCAGCCAGGCAGTGTACACAAGATTCTGCCCTCACGCCCTATTATGCACAGTTGATGCTGCAGGGCGTGGGGAGAGGGTGTGGCCGCCATGGCGTTGCTGGGCTGCCTGGGCGATCTGCGGCGGGCCCTGGAGGCGGTGAGGCCCTGCGGACAGGCGGGGTGGGGGCGGGACAAGGGGTAGAGCAGAGGCGGGGCACTCGGTCTCTAAAAGATTTGCCATCACTGACCTAGTATTACATGCTAGTTGTATTGATATTCCACCCAGATTTGCAAAAGACAATCCAAGATATAATAAGAACAGTGATTTTGCTGATGATTGCTATAGCCATCACGGGCATCTGCATAATCTGGAGTGACTTTTTCACTTCACTTTACCTGTTGTGGGCTCTTGGCCAATGAGAGCAGACATGAACACTGCCAGCCTGGCTTAGAAGAAGCATTATGAATGTTTGTCAAGATTCAGCACCCAGAGCCTCCAAAAAAGTCTTTTTTTCTACTCTTTTCTAGGATGACTTTCTCCTTATACATTATGACAAAGGACCTTGCCGAAACAAGTTAGGTCATTCTAGGGCATCAGTTATTTGGCACAGAACACAGGTAGGTGCTTCTCTATCTTTACTATGCAGTGTTTAAGCGAATTCAAAGAATTATGGTTCAGAAAACTATGAGAAATTATGAAATAATCCCATATTTATGGAATAAATGCTCATAAAAGAAATGTGTCAAAGAAAATAGGATTTTTTTTTAAAAAAAAAAAATAAACTACTTTTGCACAGTCACTGTTGTTTTGTATAGTCAGTTTTGTTGTTGATAAATTTTGATGCAAGGTGCAAAGAATCACAAGAGCCATTTGTGTAGTGGTTAAGGCACCAGGCTAGAAACTAGGAGAATATGAGTTCCAGTCCTGCCTTAGGCACACAGTCAGCTGGGTAACCTTGGGCCAGTCACTCCTTCTCAGCCCTAGGAAAGAGGCAATGGCAAACCACTTGTAAAAAAACCTTGCAGAGTTTAGTCCAGGCAGTCACTAGGAAACAACACTGACTCGAAGGCACAAAAAATCACAGAGGGCAATCCTAACTTGAAGCAGAGAGGATGGGAAGAGACTATCTTCCCACAACGATACTTGTGAAGATTCCCCAGGACAGAAAGAGTTGAGGAATATTTTCCCTGGGCTTCTCCTGGAAGAGCTTTGTCCTTTCTCCTAATAAGAACTTTCTAGAGGAGCACTTCTAACTCCATGGGATTCAAAGCTGGCTTCTTTCAAGCATAATCCATTCTGGAACTGTATCTAAGAGATGGCCGTGGTGATTCCGTTCCACCTACCTGAGTCTTGATGCTCCTCTTCCAAACAGAGTTACAGTAGCTGGGAGCTTTGAGGGGATATTTCAACATTTCTCAACATCTTCCCTGATGGTTAGGAAGGGAGGACAGGTGGTTAGGATTGTGCTCTGGTTCCTTTTGGAAAGTAATTAAAATATTCCTGGAAGCATTGCAACAATCTAAGGCAGGGCTCTTCAAACTTGGCACTTTTATGACTTGTGGACTTCAACTCCCAGAATTCCTGAGCCAGCGTGCCTGGCTAAGGAATTCTGGGAGTTGAAGTCCACAAGGCATAAAAGGGCCATGTTTGAAGAGTCCTGGCTTATAGCATTACAAGTAGTCTTCAACTTATAACCATTCATTTAGTAACCATTCAAATGTATAATGGTGCTGCAAAAACCAGTCCTCGCACTTATGACCATCACAGCATCTAAGGGAAAGGAAGGGCTGTTAGATTATAATATAATGTAATGTGTATAGCATAGCATAGCATAGCATAGCATAGCATAGCATAGCATAGCATAGCATAGCATAGCATAGCATAGCATAGCAATAGTAATATATAGCCAGCTGTGAAGGGGAAAGCCATAATATTTTTCATTAAGTGAAACAGTCATAAAATCACCACTCTGCAAAATGATTTTTTTTTTAATTAAAATAATGTGGATTTTTGCAACCACATAGGACTTCCAAGTATGCAGTTACATAACACACTTTAAGCCTCCCAATGTGAATGTTGTTCAACACTGCCACCTGGTGACAAAGAAAATGACTTTCACTCCCTGATAAAAAATAATATTATTAAGTAGTTAACACAGATTCAATTTTTCCTTAAGAAAGAAAAAACAAAATCAGAAAATAGACTTTAAAATGAATAATATGACTATATTGTTCTAACAGCTATCAGGGATCTGTTTGAATATTATCTCTGTCGGCTGTGCTAACCTTTAGGTTGTCCCTTATAAAATCAGGAGAATTTTACTTTTCATTCTTTTGCTTAAGAAGCTCTTGGTCAGCTCAGCAGAAGGTTTGAGTCCTGTATTAAGTAAGAGATTCATATCCAATAATATCTTGCCAAATTCAAAGTATCCTGTGATGCTTTAGTGCAACCTCATAGAATCAACATAAGCTAAAATACTTCAGAGCTGAGGGATGACCTTCACACAGATCCCTGTCACTCCTTTCTATTTCTACTGCCTTTACTCTTCCTAATAGCAGATTTGCCCTGCAATGCTTTAGTCTTTCTGGCAGATTTTAAATTTGTGTTGTTGCCCACATTTTAATGTGTCTAGGTTTCTCAGTAAAAAGTCAAGGCTGAGTAGTAAAGACAATTTTCTGCAATGCGGTACTGTACAATATACTAGAATGCAACTCCCAGACTTCTCATCTAGCGTGGCCAGTGGAACACCTTAAGTTAGGAATTTAGAAATTGAAATTCAACAAATTTGGGGATTGACACAAACCAGCAGTGATGGATGGTCCAGTGATGGATGGATGAGATCCAGCTTTAAGGTCTTACTTAGTCATAGTAGGCTAGTCATAGCTAGCTCCTAGAACAGCTGTTCTAGGATCATAGAATCATAGGGCTGGAAGGGACCTTGGAGGTCTTCTAGTCCAACCCACTGCCCAGGGCAGGAGTCTTTATTCCATCCTGATCAAAATGAAAGATCATCCCACCTATACAGCTTTAAGTTACTAGAAGAAAAGTGGGGTATCTATGTTAAAATAAATAGACTTAAGCATCTGCATTGTATTTCCAAGGGATCTCTTCCACTAGCCTGAGTTAAAGGAATGTTTTTATGTGTCAGTTTCAGTTGGAGCTATTACATCTGGTTTCATGTTTGCAATCAAGGCCAAGAAACACTTTAAACATTTTCAGTATATTGAAAGTTGGGATAACTGGGCTTCATTTTAATGCCAAGCCCCTAATTCTGTGGGATGCAGAGTTAGTTAGGTTAGGTAAAAATCAGGCTGGTTCCAAGCAGAGTTCCATTCTCTACCCCTTCTGGGATCTCACCCCTTGCACTTTGTGTCTTGTTAGATCAGATGGTGACCCCAAACATGTCTCCATCCTGAGACTTGAGGAACCCAACCCATCCCTAGTCTTAGTGCTGGAATCGCTGCATACTTCTCCTTCAGTAGAAGGAGCATTTATTGGCTGCAGAATTGTAAGTGTTGTTTGATGCAGTCTCCACCTTTTACATTGATGGAGAAGCATGTGCCATGTGCCCATTGTGGGTCATCTGAAATAGCAGAACTCTCCAAAGCTCTTAGGACTAAAGGGCCAGTTGGGTTGTCAGTGTGGATTCACAGATTCCTTTTCACTCATCCACTGGAAATATGCATAACTAGTGGAAACAACTTTGTTTGAAAAAGGAATAATGAAAGGGAAGGGGAGAGATTCAGTAGGCTAAATTCTTCAATGTTTCTCTTGTGTAAAGGAATCTCAAAACATTTATCAGTCTTCCCTCTTGCACTTGGTCTTCTACTGAGGGTGTGTCTGAATCTCAGAAAGAATTGTTTAAACTCCCCCAAAAGCTTCCTTCCCTACATATGGTTAGTGTTTCTCCATCGGTGACAGAGGGAGATATGAGAGCAGCCTCCAGTTGGAAGCCAGCTTTTCCAATTAGCTCTTATTCTTACGTGGTCCTCAACCAGAAGATGAAAACACTGCAGGCCCAACAGTTAAAAGGGCCCTATCAATTCATATCCTGTTAACCAGAATGGAAGAACATTTTTCACGTGTGTTTCTTTTTTCTTTTTCCTAATGCAGGTTGTGGGGATTTTTGCAGGATTTGGCCTGCTGTTATTAGTGGCATCTCCCTTTCTTCTCCTCGCTACTCCGTTTGTCCTCTGCTGCAAATGCAAGTGTAGTAAAGGAGATGATGACCCTCTGCCTACTTAGAGAGAACGAAGAAGGGACCTACTCATCATGGCTGTCCATTTCCTAACCCCCCCCCCCCCACTTTGCACTTAATCTTGTTAGTGTCTTGCCTTATTCCACTTTGAGTGAGAGGTGAGGCACCAGAATTCCCTATTCACCAGTCAGATTATGGGTAACCGTTTAAGGACTGGCAGAAAACAAGTTGAACGTTGGAACTGTGGGCATCAATGATCTGAGTCATTCCTTCTTTTCTGGGGGACAACATTAGCAGATCTGGAACTGAGTTACACTACCCAGATGAAAATCTTCATACATCTATTCACATTGAACTGAGAGAGGTTCTTACCCTTGGCAAATATGTTTTTTGCAAACCCATTACCCATTATAATATGTTCGTTTTAGATGTGACTTCAATATCTGTTTATTAAAATCAATTTCTTAATATTTGCAATTGAAAAATGTCTAAGTATTCTTGTCTCATCTCCACTGCCCATCTTTCTCACACAAAGTAATGGCATCCAGATAGATGCCCCAGGCCTTAGATTTTCAAAACTAAAAGGTGCCATTTCTGCCTGGTAATATTTGAAAATCTATGTAAACTTAATATGTGGATATGTCTGCATTTTGGTTTTTTTTCTTTAAATTTGTTTGAGGGTTGGGAGGGAGGATATCAAAGTTTTGTGGTTGAGATATATGGCCCAGACTCTTTTAAACATCAAGATGGTACTAAACCAGGATGGTACTAAACCAGGAGTAGGCAACCTTGGCTCTTTTATGACTCATGGACTTCAACTCCCAGAATTCCTGAACCAGCATGGCTCAGCTTGGAAACTCTCCCTTTCCCCTCAGCATGGCTGGCTCAGGAATTCTGGGAGTTGAAGTCCACGAGTCATAAAAGAGCCAAGGTTGTCTATCCCTGTACGAAACTCTTAATTTAACAGATCTCAGTTTAGAGGACTTCATATTTAACAGACAAAATCTGTTAGAACAGGAATATGTTATGCTGGGAGTGGGCACCGTGGCAGTTGAGGAACAGCAGGAGAGAGGAGAAAGGGAAGGGGCTGGGATGATTGGGGACAGGCTGGCCAATAGGATATGCTACTCTGGGAGATGCCAAATAGAGGAAGGTAGGGATATGCACCACACCCTGATTGCCAGCCTCGTCCAACTGTGCCTTTTGTTTCCTACCTAGATTTGTTTCTACCTATTGTTTATTGCCTATTTGCTACATGTAAATAGAGCTGCCTCTAATCTAGTATCCTTTTACATACCTAGGAAAAATATTTTGTAGAAGCCAAGCACGCAGACAAATATTCTAAATTTGGGGAAGGCCTGAGGCTCATGATTTTTCTTTTGTTGGTAGGTGCTAACCTGAGGACATAACAATCACCAGAATTTCCCACATTGGAGTTGGAGGGGGTATATGGAAAGTGTAGATGTTCCCCCATCTTTTATAATGTCCAGCAGAAACTGATGATCAGCCAGAGAGAGGGACACCTTATGTCCCTTCAGCTCAATTTACTAAGCTGTGCCTGGATGTAGAAGGATAATATACTGTAGATGTTATAGTCCCATCTAAATTCAAAAAAGTTATGTTTTCTCCCTTCCATTTTGCTTCAATTATTTAAAAAGCCTGCAGTGTTAATACATACTCTAAAAGCTATTCAAAAAGTGTATTTAATTCATTAAAAAAAACACTTCTATTTTATGACGTACGGTTTTGTGACAGCAAACATTGTTTTTAAATATCCCCCTTTCCATCTTATATTTTGACTAATATTCTCTTCATATTCTGAAGGACCATAAAATGGACATTTGGCTGCAGTTAATAACTCACCGTTGGTTATTTTGTTCTGAGTGAAAACTAAAATGTAGATATTAAATTAAGAGAAAGTATTCGCTCATAATGTTCTATAACCAAATGAAACCTGGAAATGAGAAAATCTTTTGTGCCTATGTAAGCCAATTGAAAGAGAAAATATTTTGTGGCATAATAAGGACATAACCATTGGGTTGAGGGTTTGTACTTGTTATCTAATGCAAATCTGATAACAGCTGTTCTCCCATATCAGAACATTAATCCATTGGTTGCATTGCTTTAATCTTTTTTTTTCTAGTAACAAAAATGAAATTGTCAACGCTGCTAATATTGAATATTCTTGCTTTGACAATATATGCAGAACTGTCTGGTATTTTTAGAGTTAGATCAGGTGACAGGGAAAGGGGAGGAGAAAATAAGGAAAGCCCGGGGAAAAAGAAACGGAAGTGAATCTTTGCCCTCCAAGTTAATTGGAAGATGTGAATCATGACCCCAAAATAGGGGAGGGGAAATGCCTGGAATGTTATGTGCAAAGGAAGGGAAATTCAGATCTTAGCATCCACCATGCTGTGCTGACACTCTGTAATACTAATAAAAGCTTTTTAGGTTAAAAAAATGCCTGAAAGTTNCAAGTTAATTGGAAGATGTGAATCATGACCCCAAAATAGGGGAGGGGAAATGCCTGGAATGTTATGTGCAAAGGAAGGGAAATTCAGATCTTAGCATCCACCATGCTGTGCTGACACTCTGTAATACTAATAAAAGCTTTTTAGGTTAAAAAAATGCCTGAAAGTTCTTTGAAGTGTTTCGTTAATCAGACACATGACATCATGCTAAGATCTGAATGACAGAAATCGCTTCTCCTAGTTTTCCCATTTATCAATTTTTAGATGGTTAGCAGAGCAAGAGGGAGCAATATTTGTCTCTGACAACAATGGTTTAAAAAAAAGAACCCAGCCATAATTAGCATCCAAGATATAGCAATCCTTTCAAAATAGTAGTAGGAATTGAAGAGATGAAGTATTCTCATTGTGATCCTAACTGGAATCTTTGCACCTCACCCACGTTCTTGACCTTCAGCATAATTTGAAAAAAGTTCTTTTTAGGCAATCCATTCTTACCTGCAGTGAGGCCAACATGATGAAATGTTTGTCAGGACATCACAGCACAAGCCCATAAAGCAGAATTTGTGTTGCAGTGTTGCAACTAACTTTTCACCCCTGCTGTCCCTGTCTATGTAAATTAAGAAAAAAAAACATTTGCAGTAGTTTCTCTTTGAATCATTGTGCAGGAATGCCAGGGTCCTCCAAAGGTGAAGCATGAGCAAAATTGAGAGCCATTGTAAATTTGTGCATATGTTAAATACCATGCAAGCTAGTTTTACAAAAGGTTTTGTCCTAGGAAAACAGACTGTAACGGAAATAGTGGCATTAAGGGATTTTTGACAATCATGCTTGCTAATGCACTTCTGCAAATGACAGAACTCCTCTTTTGTGTCTAAAGTCCCCTGCTGGCTCCTGCTTTATTAGACATGTAATCCTGTCTTATTGGAGTCCAAAAATATTGGGTCCAGGTGTGTGCCATTCAATTGAATCATCCCTGCTCATCGGACCATGATTATTATTTTTTAAACCTTGTACAGAGAAGCATGGAAGAGTCCTGCATATTGATAAATGATGTCTACTACAGTAAAAGAAATTCATTTTGTTCCTGTATTTGAAATGTAACTACATTTTGTGCCACTAACACTGTGATGTATAAAAGAGCTGTTGAATGCCTTTGAATGTTGTTTTGTACTTTGGAATCATATCAAAGAGTTTTATTTGTAATTTCAATAGATATTTTAAATGAACCTCTCTTCTGTCTGTCTGGATTTTTTCCCCCTGCCCTTGTCTTAGTCTACTCTAGAGCTATCCCTATGTGCAACCAGGGTTACCACTACTTTCCCTGGTCAAGGGGTGCTGGCCAGTGATGTCACTTCATATTCTTGCTGGCCAGTGATGTCATTGGTATTGGGCAGTGTTCCCTGTTTACAGAAGCCCCAAAAGCTGTACAGTGATCCCACTCTCACTTTCCACCACCTTCTTTAGCTTTTCAGCACACTTGTCTTGCCCAAAAGGATATGATTCAGCTGGCATAAGGCCACCAGCAGCTTTCTGAGATGGGGAGAAATAATCATTCTGTGACTTTTCCCCTTTCTGGATTACAAAAAGTTTTTTGTTTTTTTTTAGATCAGACTCCCATTCTGTTGCAAGGAAAAGCTCATAAACCAGAAAGCTATGCATTTATTACATTGTAGCTTGACCTATCACAAACTACACTTTGCTTGTTTCCAGGAAAATATCAAGAATGCCCTGGGTTTAGCAATAAAGGTTGAGTCCAATATCTTTAGTCCTTACTGTTGTTTCTTGTCCCATAAGGGAGCAAGAGTGATAGTTCCCCTGGCCAGCCCAGCATATTGCTTTTCTTTAATTGAAATGAGCTTCTCTGCATAGTACTTGGTCTTCAAGTAGTTTTTCTAAGGAGATGAGCTGTATGATGTCAGCTTACATGTGCTGGAATTCCATGTATGTACTTGTTTGGATATACAGGGAAGACATTCATAATGGAGATGACATAACCACCAGCTCTGTCCCTATCTTTTGTTACCTCAGCTGCTAAAGGGAGGGTCTTCATTAATATGCACATTTCTGTAGCATTTCCTCTAACAATTCAGGGTAATAACTTTTAATGGAGGACAGAAGAACCGCTTCACAGGCACTGAGCATATTTGGAGATCAGCAGCCACCATATTTCTACTGTCAGTTGTAAAATGACAATTATTAAAAGGAGTGAAAGAGGATAATTTAATTTCTTTGCCTGCAGTGCTCTCTAATAAGAGGAAAGAATGTTGGCCAGTATGATCTACAGTGTTTTGTTGCATGTTTCAGTTTTGAATGATTAACTTAGTAAAGGCTTATCATAAAAAACACACACAATACTTGTTGCCAGTCCCAATTACGATCACTAAATGAGGACTATCTCTATTAGCTGAGATTTTGTCAGGGAGGATATTCACGGGCCTGTCCTACAGATCTTGTCAGCCAGACAGAGGAGGCAGTCAGTTCTTAGATAACCAGGACAGCCGGGTTAGCCTAGTGGTTAAGGCACCAGGCTAGAAGCCAGGAGGATACGAGTTCTAGTCCAGCCTTAGGTATGAAAGTGGCTGGGTGACCCTTGGCCAGACACTCTTTCAGCCCAACTCACCTCACAG